GGAAAAGTTCAATACTGCAGGGAGAGAAATTGTTTTCTGGCAATTGATCAGAAAATCATTGCATTGTTGTCCACCTCTGTTACAGACACAGCCATCCCCCATGCCCCCTCTGGTTCCACTCATCTTGTCTGTCAGTCCATCAGTCTCACACTCCCTTTAATGCACAGTAACAAGTCTTGTGAAGGGGTTGTTAGAATCAAAACAACATCAGCAGCGCTTGTATCTGCAAATTACACAGACAGCACCATCCTCCTCTCTGGGGAATTGAAGGCAGCTGGTGTCTGTTTTCATCTTCAGCCAATACATCACTTTTGCCAGCTTCACTTTTGCCAGTTTTACTCTGTCCCTTTCTAACATCTGGAAAATAGGAAGTATTGGATCTTGTAATAATGTGTTTGTGGGCTTTTGATGATGATATGTTCACATTTAGGTGGGACATTTGCAATTCTTTCTGCATCACCGTGGAAATTACTTCAAACGTAGGAAAATAACTGAACGAATGGCAGACTGCATTTTATTTTTCAAATCATAAGATGTTAGACTTGTGCGTCTACAATCCTGTTATTTTCTCATATATTTTTAGCTACTTTTGTCTTTCTCACAAACTTATTCTCCTTGCATTGTTTCTCTCTCCACAGGCAGAGGCTTTGGATTGAGTCCTGCCGTGTGCCTGGCCATTCGGGTCAACACATTCCTGAGCTGCAGCCAGTATCATAAGATGTATCGTACAGTCAAAGCTACAAGTGGCCGCCAGATCTTTCAGCCCTTGCACACCCTCAGAGCTGCAGAAAAGGAACTCCTTCCTGGCTTTCACCAGTTTGAATGGCAGCCAGCTCTCAAAAATGTGTCCGAATCTTATAATGTCGGCATCATAAATGGGCTGTCAGGATGGACATCTTCGTTAGATGACTCCCCAGCCGACACCATCACCCGGCGCTTTCGCTACGATGTGGCGCTTGTTGCAGCACTGAAGGACCTAGAGGAGGACATCATGGAGGGTCTGAGAGACACTGGAATGGAAGATAGTGCTTGCACCTTGGGCTTTAGGGTCATGATCAAGGAGTGCTGCGATGGCATGGGTGATGTTAGCGAAAAGCATGGTGGAGGACCAGCTGTTCCTGAGAAGGCAGTCCGCTTCTCTTTCACTGTTATGTCTGTCTCTATCCAGGCTGAAGATGAACAGGAGGAGGTCACAATTTTTACAGAGCCAAAGCCCAATTCTGAACTATCCTGTAAGCCCCTTTGCCTTATGTTTGTGGATGAGTCAGACCACGAGACTCTCACTGCTGTTTTGGGGCCCATAGTTGCAGAGCGAAATGCGATGAAAGAGAGCAGGCTCATTCTATCTATGGGCGGCATGCCACGCTCCTTTCGTTTCCACTTCAGGGGCACAGGGTATGACGAAAAGATGGTGCGTGAAATGGAGGGCCTGGAAGCTTCGGGATCTACGTATATCTGTACTTTGTGTGACTCCAGTCGAGCAGAGGCTGCTCAAAACATGGTGTTACACTCCATCACCCGCAGCCATGATGAGAATCTGGAACGTTATGAAATATGGAGAACCAACCCCTTTTCTGAGTCCGTAGATGAGCTACGAGACAGAGTCAAGGGAGTCTCGGCAAAGCCCTTTCTGGAGACCCAGCCCACGCTAGATGCACTGCACTGCGACATAGGCAATGCCACTGAATTCTACAAAATCTTCCAGGATGAAATTGGAGAAGTGTACAAAAACCCCAACCCCAGCAGAGAGGAACGGCGCAGCTGGAGGGCGGCCTTGGATAAACAGCTGAGGAAGAAGATGAAGCTTAAGCCAGTGATGAGGATGAATGGGAACTATGCCCGAAGGTTAATGACCATGGAGGCTACCGAGGTGGTTTGCGAACTGGTGCCCTCAGAGGAGAGGAGAGAGGTCCTGAGGGAACTCATGAGGCTCTACCTCCAGATGAAACCTGTGTGGCGTGCCACCTGTCCAGCCAAGGAGTGCCCCGACCAGCTGTGCCGCTACAGTTTTAACTCCCAGCGCTTTGCCGACCTGCTCTCCGCTACCTTCAAGTACAGGTACAACGGAAAAATAACCAATTACCTGCACAAGACCCTGGCCCATGTGCCTGAAATCATAGAGAGAGATGGATCTATTGGAGCCTGGGCCAGCGAGGGCAACGAGTCGGCAAACAAACTGTTCAGGCGTTTCAGGAAGATGAATGCGCGTCAGTCCAAGGCCTTTGAGCTGGAAGACGTGCTGAAACACCACTGGCTGTACACCTCGAAGTACTTGCAGAAGTTTATGGAGGCTCACAAAGACTCTGCTAAAGCTTTCCAGGCAACAATAGATCCAGAAGAGGTCCAGGATGATGAAGATTTGACTCCAGAAATAACCGGGTTTTGATTTCTGTTAGTTCTATCTCCATGATTGATTTATTTTAAGAGTCCGTAATCTGCCAATTACCTCAACGTTTATGTTTTCTCACTTTAAATACTTATTGATATTTCAAGCACAACAGAAATGGAGTAGATTTATATGTCCTTTAAGAATACTTTGTACATATTTTGGCATTTGATTATATTTTGTAGATTGGATTGTTTTTGATTGTGATTGTTAGTGTCGTTGATATCTTTTGTTAGATGAAACAAAAGACATTTTCTTGAGGAAACAACATTTTGCACTTAAAATCATCAGTACTTTTGAATTCTATGCAAAATAATACAGTTTTTCATGAATATTTGTTTTTTATGTTTTAAACATAGACATATTTGAACTGCTATGTTTGGTTTACTGCCTGTTCCTGCATTTCAGAAATAACCGAGGAACTCACTGTAAACATAACACACAAGTTTCTTTTCTTTGCTTTTCGTCCCACTTTTTAAAAAAAATCTTTGCTATCTGTGAAATATGGCACATTTTATTGTATTGCAAGGATATGACACGTTTATGAATTTATACAGGGGGATATTTATGGAAGCAGATGAAAGAGCTGTAAGTCATGGACTAAAATTGTGTTAAAAAAGACCACATTTGTGGCTACTGTATTAATATATCATTTTAGCCAAAGGAAAATGCAATCACAGGGCCCTAAATGTTCTTTGTTTCATGAGTGCCCTCTGAAAAAGATGACTTTAGTGCTTTATCCCATGGTCCCCAGGGGCCAAAATAGATGCTGGGTCACTTTGAAGCAATTTTTTATCTCTTTTAGGCCTTGCACAGCAGAGGATAGATGATAGTTATTCGAATTCTTCTCATAAAATGAAGCATATACTGACCTTTTTGTTGATATCATAAGAATATAGTGTGGTCCATTAGAGAGCCTAATACCCCATGGACTCTCCAGCAGGCAGGGATTTTTCTTCACTTTTGTTTATGACCTGGTTCTTTTTCTCCTTCAGCATTTCTTCACTGTCACTGTTGACAGAGAAGAGAGATGGGCAGGACCAGAAAGTCTAATTTGTTGGCAACTTTATTTGTTTGATTGATTGATTATATTGTCTTTTTCTGCCCACGGTATTTTGAATTGTGACAGGCAATTTTCTCTTTCTTTCTTGATTGAATGTTTGATTTTGTTTTACTGCCATATGTTTAACCGTACAAATGCCATGAAATATTCACATTTCTTCGGAAAGTTGTCAGAGCTCTACAATAACATCATTTTTTAGAGAGCATTACATTGAAAAATGCTGCATGTATGTTTTTTTCTTTTGCTTTTTTTGCAATAATGAATTGCATTTCCAAAGTAATGGATGATGGATGATTCACCAAATATCACTTGTTCTGTTTTGTTGTGTTTTTCCTCATTTTACGCTTTCAGTCCTACACTAAACATACACTCAGGTGAACTATGGACAGGTTTCTCTGGTGATCTTCGAAGAGAATCAAAATATTACACTACAGCTGTGCTGTTTTGTTCAGATTTTCCTGTGCTGTCACCCAGCCTCATAAACAATGTCTTACTGAAAAGGTATTTTTGTGCACAATGGATATTGTTGTTTTCAAGATAAATAAATAAATAAATAAAGACAATACTTGACCTCATTACTAATTATTTCATTTCACTGAATTTTCTTCAATAACTAGAGAAGCACTTGTTTTACTCTAGAGTAGAATTTAAAGAATCCAGCGTTGACAAATAAATGACAACACAATTATGAAATACACAGATATTAATTGATATTATAAAATACAGTTCTATAATATCAAATATTAAAAAAAATGTAGATATGGTGTATTTTTTAAATGGGATTTTTAACTTTTAATTTCTGTCAAATATCTTACTAGTTGAAGTTAGGATATCATTGAAAAGCTCATGCATTTGAATAACTTTACTCATGTATTTAAACACATTAAATACATTAATTACACTCCTCAGATTTTTTTTCAAGACTTTATTTTGGTTAATATTGTTGTTTTTCCATACAGAGTCAATGAAATCATCACATTTAAGATAAGAACATTACATCACGCCATCAGACACCTTTTAATCAAGACATGTGGGCTTTGTGAAAAGTATGTTTAATGCTCATTTAAAGTTAAAGTTACTTGTATTTAGACATCAACATGCAATAAATGGCATTCCAAAAATACATCAGGATATGAGAAATACAGATATTTCACTCTTCATAATGCTAAAGACAAGTACAAAGGCCTGCAGAAATGATTCGATTTTCATTAGGCAGGAACTGGCAAAAAAAAAAAAAAAAAAAAAAAACTCAAAAAAACTTTCCTGTACATATTGACAAAGAAATAATAATACATCTAGAACCATGACAAACATGTTTATCTTGCCAAGCGGATAGTGAAGAAAATAAAAACCTCTCCAAAATTCACTAAAAACTGAAGCAATATTTTTTTGTTGTTGTTGTATGAAACCATTCTTATTGAATAAAAGATAAATTTATATCCCCTTTCACCAGAGTTTAAGAATCAATTATTTACTTGCCAGCATCAATGGGAGGCTGAGAAATTTTTACACCACACAGTAATATTGAAGTACAAGTCAAAGTACACAATTCAAAGTCACAAAATGCATCTTTATTACATTTTTATTTTCATCACACATTTTTTTTGTTACATTTTATTGAGAGATTACAGCTTTCAACAGGAATTTATGGTTAATGTAATTTAAAGGGGCTTGAAAAACATTGGAAAGTAAAATCTGTGGTAATTCATTTCAATTAAAAATTTGCAATAAAATGTTAAAATTGAAACAGAACATCTTGTATTTCTCAATGTATTCAGGGAGTTCTCATGAAAGTACGCATCTTGTACAATTAATTTCTATTCCAGATAGCGCGTTTAACAAAGATTGGCATTTCCACAACTATCATAAAGGAAATGGAACTCAATCAAAAAGTCTCTTGAAAAAGCTTTTTTTGGCTGGGGACATTTTTAACATCAGGGGCCCATTTCTCTCCTTCACTTTCATTGGGGTGCGCTTCACTGGAATGATCTGTCTTGGTGGGGTCATCTCCTGGTAAGGCAGGCCTCCGTGATCTAAACAGAAGTACTTTTTGCTTCCCTGAGATAGTTTGACTAACAGGGTCTCAGACAGCTCCATGCACTGAGCATGGACCCAGTGTCCCTCCTCCCCTTTCGAGCAGAAAATCATGGCTGGGCGGTGGAGCTCTGTGGAGTATAATGGCTCCCATGTGTTGGGGTCCACCTGACAGCCAAGGCAGCATTTGATCCAGTAACCAGTTTGTGATTCATCCTCCTCATCCTCCTCGTTGTAAATGTCTCCCTCGTCATCGCTACTGTTTTCCAGCTCGTGTGGCTCACGACCAAAGTAGAGCTCCTCAGAGTCCTCAAGCGGAGTGGAGTTGTCGTAATCTGTTGACTCTTGGCTGCATGCCTGGGTCCCTTCTTCCTCATTGGATTCCTTCTCTTGTTGGAAGCTGACATGATAGAAGTAATGCACGTCAGGCTGGGATGGTCTCCCTTCGGTGGGAACAGCCAACAGGATGCAGCCGTCTCCAGCACTGCCTCCAAACCACGTGCGACTATGGATGATATCTTGAGTCCACTTGGGAGGTTCTAGGTGCTCAATGTGGATGCCCTTCTCATCCAGAATGACCGTGTTGCACTCCATTCTCTTTTGGGAGTCAGACTGGTATCCGCCTAACACAATATATTTATGACCAGGACCCGTGCGTGTAACGAGGGCACTAGAGATGGACAAGCCAAAGTCTAGGGTCTCGCAGGAAAGCAAAGGGCTTCCCTGCAGGAGTTCCACACGAAGGCGGAACAGACGAGGAGGACGTGAGTCAGAGGTGATAGAATGGCCGCCTATAAAGTACACGCTGTCCTCTCTGGCAATAGCTACGTGAAAGGACTGTCCGTCACTGAGCTCAGGCAAAGTGTGAGCCGAGGAGCACCCAAACTCAAGATCAAAGAGGAAAACCTGAGGAGGACAGTCAACAACACTGTTCCATCTTTCTGTGGTCCGCTCTCCTGCAGGCATGTAGGACCTGCCCCCAAACATCACACAGGCTGTCTTCCCTCGGCTTTGCACGATGCTCATTGCATGGCCATATCGGGCCCCTGGCACTTCCCCCACCAGCTCTTTCTCTTTGCACTTGAGCGTTAGTTTGCGATTGCAACCGCGACTATCCATAGTAAGCAGGTACAAGCTCGATGAGATCTCATTGTTAGGGGTGCGGCCTCCATGGATGAGATAACTCTCTGGGAGTCCGTCGTAGGGGTCGAGGCGGCAGACGGCTGGACAGCGCAGCGGAGGGAGATAACACGAGTCGTTAGAGAAGGATATGGCCCTCAGCTTCATCTCACTATGTTTGATCCTGACACCAAAGACTCCTGTCGGACATGAACGCTTTGGCCAGCCTTTCTGGCCGAACAGCAGGATTTCCCCATCCAGCTGTAGCAGGGAGCAGCCAGGCTGCAGGAGGCCTGTACAGTTCACTGGAGATAATGCTTGCAGGGTCATGATCCGCCAGGTGCCTGCATCAAAACAGCAATTGAACACACAAACATGATGTGTCAGTCAGTCAGCTGTTGTTTGTTTTCAATGAGGACTTTTAAATTTCGACTTCCTGTTTTTTTTTTTTTTCATGTGAACAACTACAGTTACTGTAACTCTAATACTAACAATGATTCCTACAAGTACTATACATTTTCATACAGACTGACTTTCACTTTGATCAATGAAAAATAAAGGTATTTGCTTGAGGTACAAATGCCAAAATATTTGTGATATTCAAATACTTCATAGCAGACATAGTAACTAAATAAAAACTACATTGCAACACGTCTAATACTACAATTGTACATTTACTTCTGAACAAAGCAAAGTCTGTAGAGCTGGAATGCATCGTGCAATTTTTCAAAGCAATGCCGGTTTTATTATTTATTTTAGACAACTAAGTAGATAAACAGCTCTATTTTATGAGTTTGCCTTTTTTTATATGCCCACACATTTAAACTATATAGCTTTCAGTTAGCGCTTCACAGCCAAACGTTAATCTTTTCAGGAGATTAGTCAGTGGCAATGAATAAGATTACAATAAGTAAATGCTCTGTTCTAGCTTAAACAGTACCATGAGAAGGGAACGTACAAGAATTGAGTCCTCTACTTATCCTAATGATAAGTTAAATTTTTATTTGCTTACCTTACAAGCAGAAGTGAGATCTAGTGGGCAAGATCAAAATTAATGTACTATAAATCTTTTTTTTTCCCCCAAGAAGAAGCGTAAGAGGTCTTGTTGCCGATCTTTGATGAAGGCAAAAAGTGGTAGAGATTGTGAAGCTTCGTTGACTTTCAAACACTTCCAGATCTTGAGGTTAACAGTCTGTGTCTGCTGCACGCTGGCAGGTGTGCCCAACGAGTGCTTCCAGTTTGTCAGTTCTCCGTACTTTAACTGTATGTCATCTATATTATAAAGAGAACGACCAGATATTTAAAACCATTTTCAGCAAATGTAAAGAAAAATATTTTATGTGTTTGTGTCGAAACCGTATTTTTTATGAATCAGAGGAGAAAGGGTAGCCTCCACAATCAATAACAGCTCAAATCAGCCGTTATTAGAAGAAATCAGGAATACATATGAATGCACAACACATAAAACTTTGAGGCAGGTGGACAACAGCAGCTGAAGACCAGGAGCATGCAGAAATGTAGCAGAGAATTAAAGTAGTTCTGAAGACAAAAGGGATCCAGCCCAGTACTAAAAATAACAAGATGTACTTCATAGTGTTGCCTGAAAGAAAGTGTAACAACTAAAAAAAAAATATATATATATATATATTCTTATTTAAATTTATTTATTTAAATAAGAAAATCCAAGATAGGAAATGGGAAGTTTGAAATGTGAAAGATGGAAGATGATAAAATATGCTTAAAAAGCCCCTCACTCTATATTATAGTACTCAGAATTCTGGGACATGTGACTTCTTTAGCAAAATTTAAATAGAACTTAATTTGAGGATGTTAAGTGACTCTTAAAGGTAGTTGTGGAACTTCTTGTTAAATATGGGGCAGTTTTTGCAAAAACAGTTTTTATTGTATTCTAAGGAGCCACATACATTGTGAAAAGAGACTTTTTCTTGAGCCCTTCTTCATCAAAGAGTCGTTTTAACTGTAATGTCACAGGTATGCCTGAGTTACAACCTCCATTTTCATAATTAAAGCTCCTTTATTCAATCTGAAAAACCTTTCTTCCATCTATTTTTCTCACGGTAGACACATAATTAAATAATAAGGCGATTAATTTTTTGACACATCTACAGCCGAATAACATGGCAATCGCATGATCCAATAACACACCTATCTATTATTCTTTATCTTGCCATATTTTTGCTTCATGTTCGGAAGGTAAGCGAAAAAAGAAACTAGCAGGTTCTGGATAAAATTCCTTTGTGTGTCTGCGTCTCTGTTTTAAAGATGTGATCCCTCTGAAAGAAAGCAAATCTTCTGTATGAGTGACAAACACAGGCCTTAAAAAACACAGAGAAAACCATGCTGGAAGCAGCTGTCTATACACTCATTAGCATAATGTTTTTTGAGCTCTGAGTGGCTGAGACAAAACTTGAAGAGTGTGCAAAACAAAGGCAGAAACCTCAAGTGCCTGGAAGACCGTTACGGCTTAAAAACACAAAACAGCAGTGCACCTGTGTGTTTAAACCGGTGCTCGCAGGGTTGAGTGGAAGAAGAAACAATCCGCTCCTTTTACCGGAGTAGAAATAATGCAACAAATGTCAGCGGGATATGCAAAGTACTACTTTATTCCCCTTTTATTTTTGAGAGCTGGTCCCCCTATATTTAAACCCAGCCTTGGAAAAATAAACCTATTTAGTCACCAGAAGGCATCCACACAATTGAAAAGTCTGCCTGGCATGCAGCTTGCAGCTGGGCTGGTGCAGAGAGCGTAGGAGGCCCAGCGGTGTGTGGCAGACTCTGGGCTCATGCAAAGATTTGCACATAATTGATAGAACAAAGTAATTAGAATCTACGGCAGCACCTGTTTCTGTCCATTTTAATGTATCACTACCTGCCTGCTGCTACCCTGAGGTTTGCTTTTTGATTGATGACATGGGGACAGCTTAGATGTTCTGACAATGGCTGGGCCATGGTGTTTATCACTATTTAATGTTGTGATAATTGCTCCTCTTTTGGTAATTGTTGCTAAGTGACAGTGGTAGTACCATCCCCTGCTGGTTAATATGGTGTGCTGCAGTATGGTAACTTCATCTGATAAATATTACAATCATTAAATTGTTTGGCTTTTTTTTTTTTTTTTTTAATGCGCCCATTGACTTAGATGTAAGCATTTTGAGGGTGATAGATAAAAGCAGATCCAAAACTAATTATATTGGTATTTTTAATATCCATCCTTGCAGAAAAGCATCGATAAATCTTTTCCACATCTTCCACAATGGAATGGTCTAGATTGACTTGCTTAAATGGGAAAGTCCAGATTTAAATGCATTTGGGAAAAAGCTAAAGGAGTTTTAAAATGATGTCCATAGATGTTCTCCTTGCAAATAATGAAAAATAATAACATCAGTCAACATGTGTATAGGTGATACACCCCAAAAGACTTGAGCTGTTATTTATTAATTTTTTTTCAGAAAAGGTACACAGTTTCGAGTTAGACAGAACACAAATATTCACAACCTTTTTTTTTTTTTTAATTTTTGTTTATGCAAAAAACTTGTACTGCTTTCTTTAAGCTTCAAAATCGTGCTCTAATTTGCTTCAGCCTTTTAACACATTTTTATGTGGCAAAATGTAAACACGGCTGGAATGCATTCTTATTTGCATTCACAAGCTTCAGTTGTGAAACAATAAATGTTAATATTTTTATTACACATCTTTAGACATGTTAATTTTTCATTCTTGTGCTTCAGTCTTTTTTTTCCAGCTTTTATGATACAAAACTTAAAAGCCTTGGCATTGCTCATGTTTACAGTGTCAACATCATGTGAGGTACATTTGTGTACCTGCACCATCAGCTCCCTTGTATCATATATTTCTACAAGTGTCAGCCTGTGAAAGCGCTCTCTTAGAATTGGCTGACATAACTTGTAAAGGTCTCTGACCAAAGACGAGCCAACACTATACTTACACTTATTTATTAATGCAGACTCGCCCTGAACTGCACAGGAGGTCTTAAAGTGGTGTATTGACTTTTGCTGCAGAGAATTACACACTGTTATGGTAGACCAGTCTTGTTGTTTCATCTGTCAAAATGACTGATGGTTTTCTGATTTTTCCATTTTTAGGAGAAAAAAAAAGCTTGATGAAATCAACTGCTGTTCCACCGAATCCTTTTGATACTCAATGTTGTCTTCTTCCCAAATTGTGCTTTCCTCATCACAGTTTCTGTTTTTCTTAAACTCCCCACTCTACAAATTTAGCTGTGTGGTTTTCATGTTTGTGAGCAGCAAGGTTGAATAGGGAAATGTTAGTCTGCCAAGGGCTGCGTACCGCCTTGGCAGCAGATCAGACAGTTGGAAACCTTGCAGTCTTTGCATCGCCCCTCTGAGCTCTCTTAAGCCTGCTTCATTTAGCTGTTCATCCGATGTGACTGCTATAGGCTCAGCAGGCAAACGAAAGCCATGTCTTGAGTTGACAGCCGTAGATCTGTCCTCACCCTTCCATTTTCTGCTCCACGTGAACAGACAAACAACTGTAGCCCTGCGACCTAACTTATTCGAGCGATGAAAAGATGAAGGCGAGCATAGGGGTCAGAGTGAAGGGGAAATGTGAAAGGACCAGGATAGCTCTGTAGCCTGATCTTGCAAAGCTCTGCTGCACCCCTCAAGCTTGATTGATTGAAGCTTTGAGAGCGAAAGCCCCCATAATAGTTTTCAATCAAACCAAAGCCCTTCATTGACTAACACCTCTTTTAGATCATTCATCTTAGCTTTCGCCTTCTTTATCTCTGTTTGTCTCCTTCAGTTTATCACTGCAGTCCTCTTCATTGCAATGAGTCTTGATTTTCTTTAAGCAAATGACCAGACAGTTTTCAACGCCAGTGAGTTTACTTCAGATGTGTACACTGAAGCATGAACAGGACCTAAGGCAATGCCAAGTATTGATTTTGCCATGATTCTGATTAGAGGGCTTCTTGTTGAAATCAATATTGCATACCAGTGGCTCGCTTAGTATAGCTGATGCCCTAAAATGCAATTTCAAATTTACTTAATAATTATAGAAACTTTTGATTATTTTTGAATTAAAAGAAAACATTACTGCCTACAGTCGAAACCAGATATTTGTGCTGGATAAAAAGTTGTAACGGTTTCCCCTTACTGTGTTACTAAACTTATAATTTCGTGCCACTTAATATTCCCCAAATTATTTATATTTTCCTACACTCCAAAGCTACTTGCTGGATTATTATTAACTTAGCTGAAGTCATGTGTAATTAATTATGGATATGCATTCAAAAGAGGCTTGTAAGAATAAGTGTACCCTTTGAAAATAACTTTCAGGCAGGTATTAAACATATTTTTAATTAAACCCACTTTTGTGTATTTAAAGCAATTTTCTGGTCAGATATAATATTCTAATATCAAAGCTCCAAGTGAGCTCTGGGGCAATTTCTAAGGGAGTCATTGCCGGCCTACAAACTTTGGCAAAGAAATATGGACACTTATTATTTTCTTCTTGGGGATTTGTGTCTATTTTTCATGGACATTTTATGTGTGTACATCTTTGTGTAACTGGCTCATGTGTGTTACTGGATCATGCAAATTTGTGGTCATTCATTGCATCAATGAAGTGTATGGTCCTCATCTGGCCAGTTATATAGAAATACAAGGGTAAACTTATTTGCAAATCCTAATTGTCAGGATTAGGACAACTAATGTCCTAATGTCCAATAACATTTATTCTACGCGTGAGGAAACAACACCGACTTATTCGGCAATCTCATTTCACTGGACAAATCTTATTACAGACACAGTTATTCTGGCCTTCAACAAACATTTCCCATCACATTTTCAGAATTCAAATTGGCTTTTTAAGTGAGGTACTGACAGGAAGTGAAAGTTAACGTGACTCTTATTTGGAAATAAGGTTGCTTAATTGTACAAAAGGACCATCATTAATATTAACTAATGCTATTTTTCTCTGATTATGTTGGAATAAGAAAAATAGAGGTTTGCCATGCTGCTACGTTTCGAACCGTTGCACGGACTGAAATGCTATTTCACGGAGAATGGTTCCTTTAATCAACACTCTGACAGTAAATTACATTTACTGATTTATTTATTTTTTTTACATATTGCTATGAAGTAATGAAAACTGAGGAACAGTCCAACACTTCCTAATGCAGGTAAATATGAGCAACAACTACTCTAAATAGATGCTGATGAAAATTATATTCAGT